CTCTCCCTCTCTCCCTCTCCCTCTCTCCATGTCTAGATGTGTATAAGAGACAGCTCTCTCTCTCTCTCTCTCTCTCTCTCTCTCTCTCTCTGTGTCTGTGTGTGTGTGGGGGGGGGGGAGATGTTCGCCCTGCGGAGTCGCCCTCCCCCGTGCTTCTTTCTTACAGTTTTCATAGGGAAGGACTGCGTGCTGAAGGTCGCTCCTTGTGATGGCGAACTTGCACAGGTGGCACGCCGAACCTGCTGCACTCGTCGCACGCGCTTTGCAGGCAGCGTGGAGTTTTTATTCTTTTGCAGTCGGACGGATGATCTCAGCAGATCCGTAAAGAACTGCTGGTAACAAAGAGGGCAGAAAGGAGAGTCCAATCGAGTCAACAAGCAAGGAAAAAAAGAGCCAAACAGGGCGAAAAGAGGAAAAAGGCCGCACGGATGTATGCGACCATACTCAGCAGGGGACAAAATGGGCTGCAGTGTGCTCACCTTCAAAAAACCTTGCCATGTCTTTCACCACCTCTTCCTTGTCACCGTCCCGCTCCAGCATGATGAGTGCTTTCCCCACCTGATTATACAGATTGACGCCCTGTTCCCCTTTACTGTTCCCGAAAATGCGCTGAACGCACTGCAACTCGTTCCTCAACACATCCGTCTGCCACGCGGACGCGCATAATTGGAACACATCCTTGACGAAACCGAACAGCTCTGACGTGTGATTACAGCCAGGACAGCGAAACTCCTGCTCGGGGGTCTTCCCTAGCCGCGTGCTGCTCGCAATATGCACCTGCCCGCCGTTCTCCCTACTCAACGCGCAGTCAGTGTGGCACCAGTGACAACAAAAGTCACAGCCTATCCATCGACAAGTGTTAGCATCGAAGTCGAACTTGCAGCAAACCACACACATGCACAGATTACAAAAGCCAGGGGTTTTGCAAACGGCGCACTTGCAGCCATCGGCGGGCAGGACGGTCAAGCACGCCACATTGCGGCACCTTTCGTTGAAGTAAATCTCGATGAGGAAAGTCGGGGTGATATTCACCTCTTGCAGAAGGTAGACCGGGATACCGGTCCGCACTGCAACGATGATCTCCAGCTGCGTCCGATCGGCGCGCGAAAGACTCTCCTTGGTAATGTCGGACCGACCCTTCAGCACGCTCTGAAGCATCATCAGCTCGTCCCTACCCTTCACCCCTCCGCCCAACATATCCCGAAGCCCGCCCTTGAGACCTTCATGGAACTCGCTTGACAGCTCGCGCAATTTGGCACTGACTGTGTCGATAGGTTCCTGTATGACGTCAGCCAGGCTGAGATGACGTGGATGCGACATGAACCGACTAGGATAGAGAGCAGGACTGGCCGCCGTCGCAGTCGTACCTGTGATTGTTGTTGTTGCGGAGGTGGTAATCGTGGCTGATGACGGAGGAACCATGCTGCCGTTTGCATAATGCTGCTGCTGCTGTTGAGGCGGCGGCAGCGGCTGCTGCTGCTGCTGCAAGAATGGATGAGAAGGAGGGAGAGAGGAGGGATGATGATGGTGATGGCGAGGCGAAGGAGCGACGGCGGGGGCAGTTTCAGTGGAATTGGCGGTGTTCGTGGAGGCGCGAGAGCAGGCGGACACGTCGGACACAACACGATGTGAAGGGGAATTACTAACGACGGGTCTGGTGTCCCGCTCGCGCTCCCTATCCCGTTCCCGTTCCCGTTCCCTCTCTTTTTCTTTCTCCCTATCCCTCTCCCTTTCCCTTCCGCAGTCTCGTTCTCCTCCACTACAGCTGTTGCCGCCGCCGCCACCTACCGAACACGTGGACTGTGAGGACGCCTTTCCAACCACAATTCCCCCGGCCCCCACAACGACAGCGCCCCCCCTTCCCCCGCTGTAATGACCTCCACCATCTGACCGCTGTTTAGGTCTCTCCTCGAACGAGGCACCCCCGCCGCCGCCATCCGATCTACTCCTTTTCATCAAGAACGCTGACCTGACTACCAAACTACAATCTCCGGGGACGATGACACGACGAGATGCAGTGTCCTTCGTTGACCGCAAGAAAGCCTGACCGAAGCGAGAGTCTTATTTTATTTACCCTCAGAGAGAGAGAGAGAGAGAGAGAGAGAGAGAGAGAGAGAGAGAGAGAGAGAGAGAGAGAGAGAGAGAGAGCGAGGCAGAGATAGAGAACAAGGCGAAAGTCAGTCAGTGGACACGACGACTACCGCCGTCGGTAGAAAACAGATCGCGCCGCCGCCCTTCGACAAGGGCAGAGAGTCAAGCCTCCGTGCCCGTGGCGGCAAAAAAGGCTTCAACCCCCGCGCCTCTTTTCGCCGCCAGCGAAATGAATGCAGGACCTATCGAATCAATAAGGCGTCTTTACTAAATGACCCTCGTCACCGTGAACAGGATCAAAAGGTCGTACTAAACCCATTCTTGACGCTCACGCGCTGATTGGCAAACTAATCATCAGGTGTTTCAACTTCGTTCGTTCAAACAGACGTCTGACGTGTCCTACAAGCATAGCACTGACGAGAAGCAGCATGGACCCCAAATAAGATATCACGCAGAGGAAACCGGCCGGAGTACTGGAGAGCAAGAAGAAAGACATAATAGGTGCCCTTTCTTGGTCGCAAGTCGTTCCAAGACCGCCAAGTCTTTCCACACTTCTCTCTCTCTCTCTCTCTCTCTCTCTCTCTCTCTCTCTCTCTCTCTCTCTCTC